GGGGCTCCATGCTTGAAAGCAGGGGCCTGGGGGCCAGAGACCAACCTGAGCCCCCCCATCCTCCAGCACCCATTCACAACGCAACAGCTCCCCCGGGCTCTCCTCACCCAGCTGCTGGACAAGGCCAGCGACCCCCACCTGGGCGCCCTCTCCCCGGAGGACTGTGACCTGGAGGTGAGTGGGGCTGGGGAGGGAGTCTTGGCCTGGCCTGGTTGTAGGGAGTGCGGAGGTGACATAGGCCAAGGTCCCTTTAACTGGACTATTTCCAGCATAAGGAGCTTCCCTCCGGGTGAGCCACCCATTGGGAATCTTCCCTGAGCCGGCCGTGCCTCCTGTACTGTCCCTTGGTGGGTGCCCACCCTTGACCCGGGCTGACCGTGACCCTCACTCGGCCATCTGCTCTGTGTGATCTTTGGCCAGTTATTTGCCTCTGTGTGCTGGTTTTCTCAGTTATGGAGTGAAGGTGCCGTTTAATCTCACGATGATCTACAGAGTGTGTGTGTGTGAAGCACATTGGAGGTGGGGCGAGGTGCGTGCCGGGTGTGTGTCCACTGTTTGTGTTCCCTCTTAGACTTACGACATGTTTCCAGACACCATTCACCCCCGGGGTCATCACGGCCAGGCTGAGAGGACCCCCTCAGAGATCCAGTGTAAGTCGGGGGAAGGGGCTGTGTGTGGATTTGGGGGGCTGTGTGTGGATTTTCTGGGGGGCTGGCTGTGTGAGTGGATTTGGTATGAGTGTGAGAGTAAGTCTTCATTCCCCCCTAATCTACGTACACTGGGCACCCCAGTTCACCAGGTGAAGTTTGGCGCCCCACGCAGGAAGGAAACGGACCCACTACCTGAGCCGGTGAGGCTGGCTGGGCGGGAGGGGTGCAGGGAGGGCTGGGTGCTGTGCGGGAGGGGGTGCAGGGGTGAGGCTGGCTGTGCGGGAGGGGGTGCAGGGGTGAAGTTGGCTGTGCGGGAGGGGGTGCAGGGGTGAGGCTGGCTGTGCGGGAGGGGGGCAGGGGT